CATATTTATGCAAAAATATTGATAAAACTACAATTTCGATGTCTCCGATTAGTCCCCGCCTAGCCGGCCTAGGCGCCCGCCTAACCGACTAGGCGCTAGGCGCTGGGCTGGCGCCCGACTAGCGCCTAACGCCTTTTAGAACATTGGTTTTTGTTAAGAAGTTTGGTTATGTATATAAGAAATAAAGTTTCATGATGAGACTTTGTATCTTTAGTTCCGCTTTGTATATTGAGTCTTGTTTATTTTTGAGTATCGTAATGGCCGTTTGGGGACGGTCGTTACACTTGTGGTCTTGGATATTTGATTGAATTTTAAGATAACTTAAACTGCCTCAAGCATGATTATAGTTTTAGAATTCTAATGCTACAGACAACAATTCATATACGTGTTGTGGAATAATACTTTTTTTTATTTGTTTAATGAAATTGTTAGAGATATGGAATACATACTACAAGGTATTAATATTTTTTAAAAACATTGGTGCCCCTAATGCTTTTGGTGCCCTAGGCACATGCCTAGGTGCCTATCCCCAAAAGCCGGTTCTGAATTCAATCGGGAAGACACTCAAATGAATTCTTGAAGATAACTGCGCTTTTAACTGCGCAGTTATCTTCAAGAATTCATTTGAATGCCTTCCTGATTGAAGTTTTAGCTGAAATTTGTTACGAGTAAACTAGACTTAATGAATAAGATGCTCAAAACATTTCATCAAAAACTTCCACCGGGAACCACCCCAAATGGCGACGGTCGGATAGAGCCCCCTAAATAAGGGCTTATTTGATCTTTTTTTGGTTAGTATGTGGGCTTATTTGCCCCCTTTCTCTATATTATGTATTCATCAAAAGTACTTCTCAAAATATACTCAAATTACCTTATTTATTTATTGTCTAAATAACCTTAATTGTGTCATTTTCCAATAGAAACATTAACATGGGACGGAAGTAGTACATTGTATCCAATATCTTTATGTTAGTCATATATTAGTCGTTATTTTATTTAATATATATTTTATTAATAAAATAAAAGAAAATCATATGAAAAATAGCATAAGTGGTTATCTATAGTAACTTCAACCAATTCAACTATCAAAGTAACTTCAATCTTGTTAATTTTGATTATTACTTGACAATGAAATAAAAAATTATATGTTTGGTGATAAGCTGAAAATAAGGTTACCAAACGGGCTCTTTTTCATTATTATTTTAAAAAATATTTAGCACTTTTAAATACTCCAACAAATTCGTGATCAAATAATAAGGATAATACGTTTATAACATCTCAATTATCACTTGAAATGTTGATTGTTACAATTAAATTTCAATACTCCACCATTAGCACTCTTAAATACTCCAACTAATCTTAAATACGTTTATAACATCTCAATTATCTTTACTATTTTAAAAAATAACTAGCACTCTTAAATACTCCAACTAATCTTTCAAGGAATAAAAGATATTCATGGTCAAACTTGTGCGTTGGCAACATGAAAAGTTGATTATTGCAATTAAAAGATAATAGAAGAAGTACTATGTAGACGATAATTAGTGACGCCCGTAAATAAATTGTATTGAAAATCTAAGCAGTTAAAGTATAACTAAACCCAAAAACCTATAAAATGTTGAATGATTAAAATATGGAAATATAAGTATTATGAGTATTAACATATATTGACATCATGACATCATCAATGATGTCTCGGTATCAACAGGAAATTAAATTGCACAGTAAAAAATCAAAGGTTTTGAAAAAAAAATTAATTGCAAATATTTCTAATTTTAATTAAGTCCGTAGTATTTCTGGGTATTTTACCAAAATACGGGAATCCTCAACATCTCTTGCCTCAAAAAGAGGAAGTCGCAATTGCCTCTTCCGACCAAAGATAGGGTTTCGAAAAAACAAGGGTGGGCTAGTGTCGGATACACCAATTCCGACTAGGGGTTTATTTGATTTTTTAGATTGGGAAAAATAATTAAAATACCCCAAACTTTAAAGGGGTGTGAGATAAACACCTCAAACTTTCATATGTATTTTAAATACCGCAAACTTTATATAAATAGTCATTTTAACACCATGATCATGTATTATTTCTTTCAAAAATGTAGATTTATGGTGTTAATTGCATAATTTAAAATAGAAAATTAAAAATGATGCAATTATATAGAGTGTGTGGGGAGGTGGGGTAGTATTATTTTACAATAGAAGTTTAGAATGTTAATTTCATCTTCATGAATGCTAAAAAATTCAAAATATGCAATTAACACCATAAATTTACATTTTTGAATAAAATAATACATGAATGTGGTGTTAAAATAAATTTTTATATAAAGTTTGGAGTATTTGAAATACATATGCAAGTTTGGGGTGCTAATTACCTCACACCCCATCAAAGTTTAGGGTATTTTAATTATTTTACCCTTTTAGATTCAGTATTTTTTAATGAAGTGCTATGAATAGAGTTCCGAATTTTTAATGAAATGCTTTAAATTTCTTCCAAAAAAAAATTGAACTGCTTTAAATGAACTGCTTTAAATGTAATGAAGTTTTTTTTTAGATAAAGAGAGTTTTTTTTAATTGAAGTAAAATACGTACCGTGCAATTTTTTAAAATGAAAAATATGCGTTTTGATTTTTTGAATAACAAAAAATTGATTACTTTATTTTATTTTTTAATCCATCCCTATTTTTAATTAAATTAATAAGATGAAGCACAAATTTCATTTTGTTTAAAATGCAATTTTTGTAATTTTAATGGAAGTGAACAAAACAAATGTAGCTTTAAATGTAATTTATTAGTAAATACATAGTACGTACATACAATAATAAATTTAATACTACGTCTAATGTTGCTTGCTCGGCCCTGGCATGTCCTCGCCGCCAGTGTTCCAAAACCCCGATGTGTCTTCAAAAGTGGGAAAATATGCCCTTGTCTGTGTAGAGTACTGATAAGAACCATAATACGGCGGTGGTTCAAAAAATGTGAAATCTTGATGCGAAGAGAATTGAGGGGGAGGTTGTGATTCCTCACCCGCACCTTCATCTTCAGCTGCATCACCCTCTTCCTCATTTCCACCATCGTCTTCATATTCATCTCTATCTTCATCAGCGTGACGATGTATATTATACGACCACGGGTGGGAGCATCTCTTCGTCGATTAGGCCTACGGCGAGGGACGGGAGCGGGTTCATCTTATATTTTGGCAATTTTTCGTAAATTAATCTAATTTCGGAAAATCCCTCACCTCTAACACGGTTTAGAACAGTCTCTTATATACTGGTAAAATGAAAAAAATTGGTTCTCCTCGTCCGATTTAGCAATTCCGACAGGATAAAATGGAATTATGTTTTTTTTGTTTTTATTTAATTCATTCACGATATAATAAGTATAATTTAAAAAAAAGTTTCCCCTAGTCGGATTACCCAATTCCGACAGGAAGGGTTGTGTGGAAAATGTAACCCTACTTCTGGTCGGATCACCCAATTCCGACTCCCGCATTTTGGTACCCTAATTACATTTCCCGTATTTTGGCGTGTCAGACAAAAAAATCACGCATTTTGGGAATTTCCTTAGTATTTCTTATGGTTTAAAATTTACACGTGTAATATTTTAAGTGGACTACTAAAGAAAATGTATGGTACACTTCGAAAATATACAGGTACCGTAGAAGGACCCTTAACTTATACGTAGTATACAGGTACCGTAGAAGGACCCTTAACTTAGTAGTATTAACATATATTGACATCATGACATCATCAATGATGTCTCGGTATCAGCAGGAAATTAAATTGCTCGTCTAAGAATAAATCAAAGGAGAGCGTAATATAAAACTATAGAAAGTCTATTTCCCAAGAAAAGCTAAAAGTGTATTGTTTGATTAATTGGAGAATGTGTATTAGTGTACGTATTGTTATTCCTTTGCCGCTTGTGTATAAGAACCCATCGTCTAGTAACATTTATTTCATCATTCAAAAAAGATCATATCACAACTTCTTATTAAAGAAAAACGCACTCCATCTATACATACCAATTAAGAAAGCTAGGAGATCGAGATCGAATCAAGGTATGGATTACAAGGAGGCGAAGACAAACTTTTACAAGCAACAGTTTGAAAAATGTGTAGCAGCTCATGAAACATCAGAAGACGAAGATGGCAATCGCATTCTTCGGATTCTTCTACCAGAAAGTATATACTGTCATCTTCTCCTTCTTAATTAACTCCCTTTGAATTGCCTGATCAAAAATAGTTTCTGATATATATTTCAAACGAGCATGAGATCCATCACAAAATCTATTATGTTAAAGCAAATTATACAAATATATATATACTACGTAGTATATACAACTGAACCATTTAAATATTACGGAATAATAAATAATAGAACAATGATTTGCACCGGTCAAATGTATTCTAGATATAGTACTTTCTTTCATTTGTTTATGGTTTTTTTACTATTTTAATTCTAGATATAAATTTAATTATTTTTATATGATTTTATTATGAATTAAAAAATTTTATTATGAATTGATACGCTTACAGGTATTTAGGGTAGAATGTTAATGTTTAGTTCTATTTGTGAATGATTTAAGCTAAGGCTTTAGTTCTATTTGTCAAGTTAAATTTCTATTTAGTCCTATTTAGGTCAATTTTTATTATATAAATAGTGTAGATGCTCAGTTTTGGCTACTAATTAACTATATATATGTGACAATTAACTAACTTTGGATGCTTATTATATACTTTTTCAACTTGAACTAACTTTCGATGCTTATTACTTGTGTATACCAAGTACATATATATATAGAAAGGTTTTTCAATAAATATTATCGAAATATAACTATTTTAATGGACAAAATATTACTATAATTACTATGCAAGTCATTATAATGATAGAGTTGTAAACAATGATGATTGATGATCACTAAAATTAACATGATAGTCACTAAGTCATATTTTTATTAACATATGTGTGTGCTCAGTAACCAAGGGGGAATATATAAAGGTCCAATTAACCAGCCGAGGGGCGATTAGGATCACTTGGACGCCGAATGTAATTTTGGAAGGAGTAACGACACCCTTGGACCCCATGGTCTACCCAAAAGATATAAACTTTATTTCTGATGAAGATCATGACTCGGCCAGCGTTAGTGCAAAGTTTGAAAATGGCGTTCTCACTATCACTGCTCAGCCACTGCGGAAGCCTTCACCAACTCCACCGGCCATTCTACAAAATCAAGTGCACCCAAAACCCTCACAAGTAATATTAATTAATTAACCGTCGCGTACAAAATTCCCAAAATAGAAGTAAAATCAATTACAAGTTCCGAAATATGAGCACGTTCCTACTTTTTCAACTTGAACCCAAGTAATAACTAAATTACTGTCTCTTCTCAATTTGTTTTGCAAAGTCAACATTTTTTGTCAACCAATGTTACAGTTAAATACTCCCTCCGTTTCTAAAAGAAAGTCACGGTTTGACTTCACGATTATTAAGGAAATAAATTGACTTTACTGTTATAAAACACTGTTTAGACACTATTTGGCACTGTTTGGCACTGTTTGGACACTGTTTGACACTGTTTGGCACTGTTTGGATGTAGATTTCTTTGCCAAATAAGGAAATAAGGGAAGTGTGACTTTTATTTTGGCACATCCAAAAAAGGAAAGTGTGAGGTTCTTTTAGAAATGGAGGGAGTAATTTCTATAGATCAGATAAATTATTCAATTTTAATAATTACAATTCACACACTACAAAAAAACACCCGTTTAGTCACGGACCGTAGTCACGGATTTGGTCCGTGACTAGCCTAGTCACGGACTAGTCACAGAGTAGTCACGAAAATTTAAAAAAAAAAGTAGTCACGGATTTTACCGTGACTACAGCCGTGACTACACGTAGTCACGGATTTTTGACCGTGACTAACATCCTCCGATTGCCCGTTTGATTTTCCGGCCTGGCTTGTTTTACTCCGGCAACTTAGTCACGGCCACATCCGTGACTATGCCCGTGACTATAATTAAAATTTAATTTTTTTCAACTCCCTTAGTTAATTCGCAACGGTATTATGTACGGATAATTGTAGTCACGGCCATATCCGTGACTATGTCCGTGACTACTTTGATTTACACGTCATTTCCACGTCATTAACACGGATCGGACGCGTAATGGACACGGTATTGCTTAGTGACGGACAAATCCGTGACTAAGTCCGTGACTAAATTTTTTATATATGCAGCAGCAGTTCATTCAACAGAACCACACCAATTCATTCCCAGTATATACAGTATCTGTTTGAAAGATCGAAGGATGTAGTCTGTCTTCTATCATTTTCCCCATTTATGCAGTTAAGGTATGTTATTTGAATTATTATTTTTATTCAGAATTAGTTGGCTCAATTTAAATGATTAAAACTATTAAATTAGTGATCGATGTTGTTAATTAATTAACAACATATTCAAGTGTAAGCGTAGTAATGTCATAAAATTAGTTAAACTGTTAGGTTTATAAAATAATTTAATTAAAATTAGTTAGCTAAACGTAGTTTTAAACGTAGTGATCTTTATGTTAATTGAAATTAGTTAGTTAAACGTACGTTAGTAATGTGTTAATTAAGTGTATTGTGACTTGTTATTGTAATTGTGTATTATTTATTAATTGAAGTGACCTTATATACATGTTCAAATTATTGGGTTTAATTTGGTCATATTATTTAATTTAGTGAATTGGAATTGTTAATTGTGTAGTACTAATAACATTAAATGTCATTAACGTAATAATTTAGTTTAGGTTTAAATGTAGGTTTACAAAAATAATTTAATTAAAATTCGTTAGCTAAACGTAGGTTTAAACGTAGTGATGCATTAAAAGAGGACGGAATGAACTAGTTAAATTTAGTTAAATTTAACTAAATAAATTAGTTAAATTTAGTTAAACGTATGTTTAATTTAAATGTAGTGTTAATAAATTACTTAATTTTTTTGTAATATTAGTTAAATTTAAGTATTAGGTAATTACTTATATTTTGTGAATTATTGTTGTGAATTGTGTGCATTTCATTTAATTTAGTGAAAATTAGTTAGTTGATTATTTAGTGAAATAACTCACTTAAAATTTGTTAGTATTATTGTTAATATTTGAACGTGTATACTTTTTTATTATAATATTCAGGCATAATGTATAAACAAAATAGAAGTTGGATGTATGATAAAGATGCGGTATTTTACGGAATGCAATCAAATTTTCTCGAGGGAGTCGGGGAATTTATTGAATTTGCACTTGAACATCCGGCTTATATGAGTGGTGATAAAATAAGATGTCCATGTTCTAAGTGTAAAAATCTGAAATTTAAAGACCCACACGAAGTTGGATATGATTTGTACGCGGTCGGTTTTGTTCCCAATTATTATAATTGGACTTCTCACGGCGAACCTTTGGATCCATCTGTTATACCACAAACGGTAGGTTCGTCTCGTTACGTCCCTCCAGAGATGAGTGCGTGGGGAGACCGTGCTGAAATGAGGTGGGACCAACAAATGGTATATGACGCATACGGTGTACCGATGTCTCAGTTCAATCCCCCACAACCACCTAACGACCCCCCTGAAGCCTCAACCTCGTATCAACCAGATGCGGATGAAAATCCGACATTTTATCAACCTTATGTGGATGAAGGTTTGACTGAGAGATTTCAGGATGTTCTAAAAGCTGCCGACCAACCTCTGTATGCTGATTGTGAGGGATACTCTCAGCTATCCGCCGTTACTGAATTCATGAACATAAAAGCCGAATACAGTCTCCCTGAAACTTGCATGAATAGAGTCTTGCAGTCAGTAGGAGGGATGCTACCGCGAGATCATACCCTTCCAGATTCATATTACCACATGAAGCAGTTAATGTCTAAGTTGGGGCTACCTTGTGTTGAAATTGATGCGTGTCCGGAAGGATGTATGTTGTTCTGGAAGGAGGATGAGGCACTTGAGTTCTGCAAGTTCTGTGGTGGAGACAGATACAAACCTGTTCGTCAAGGTAAAAAGAAACCACGACATAGGTCTGCACTGTCTAAACTGTATTACCTCCCAATAGCTCCTCGACTGCAGAGGATGTACGCTTCGACTGCTACTGCGAAACACATGACATGGCATGTTGAGCACGAAACCAACGAGGGTATGATGGCTCACCCTTCGGACTGTGAAGCCTGGAGACACTTTGACCGCTGTCATCCTCAGTTTGCTATGGAGCCACGAAATGTGCGGCTGGGATTGTGCTCAGATGGATTTGCTCCTTTTGGCAGGTTTGGCAAGAACTATTCATGTTGGCCGGTCATGTTAACTCCTTACAATCTCCCTCCCGACATGTGCATGAAAAGTCATTTCATATTTTTGTCTTTAATTTGTCCGGGTTCCAAGGATCCTGGGCGAAAGATAGACATTTATCTCCAACCCCTTATCGAGGAGATGAAAGAACTGTGGGCCGTTGGGACACCAACTTATGATGTTTCATCAGATAAAATGTTTATCATGAAAGCTGCTATCATTTGGACCATTAGCGACTTCCCTGCCTATGGCATGCTTTCGGGATGGAGCACACACGGTTTGATGGGATGTCCGATATGTATGGAGAAATCAGGTGCCAACTGGCTTAGTTACAGCAAAAAAGGAAGTTACTTTGATTGTCACCGCAAGTTTCTCCCGGAAAGGCACCGATATCGAAAGGACAAGAAGTCTTTCATTAGAGGCAGAGCGGTACGAGAGAGCCCACCCCCGAGATTGACCGGTGAAGAAATTTATAACCGGGTTCGACGTTTTCCTACGGCTATGGAAGAGCCAAACCAAGAGCCATATGGGTATTGTGATACCCATAAGTGGACAAAGAGGAGCATATTCTGGGAGTTGCCTTATTGGAAAGACCTTCTCATCCGTCACAATTTAGATGTCATGCACACTGAGAAGAACGTCTTTGACAATATATTTAACACAGTGATGGATTTGAAAGGCAAAACTAAAGACGGTCTTGCAGCTAGGAAAGATATGACTATTTGGTGTGATAGACCCGAACTTTCTGTTGATCTAGAATATCAGGGCAAGGAAGTTCCAAAAGTAGTCTACCAGGTCACAGAACCACAAAAGGCAGCAATATTACAATGGCTTGCGTCTCAGAAGTTTCCAGATGGCTACTGCTCCAACTTGTCTAGATGCGTAGACATGAACAAACTTACCACGACGACGAGCATGAAAACTCACGATGCTCATGTAATAATGCAAAGACTTCTACCAATTGCACTAAAAGAGATGCTTCCTGAACACGTATGGTCCTGCATTACTGAAATCAGTTTGTTGTTTCAATCGATATGTTCCAGCGTTTTGGATGCGGCATCCCTCCGAAGACTACAAGATTCTGTTCCCATTCTGATGTGTAATCTAGAAAAAATAATGCCTCCATCGTTTTTCGATACAATGGAACATCTTATAATACATCTTCCGTATGAGGCTTTGACTGCTGGGCCCGTCTTCTATTGCTGGATGTACAGATTTGAAAGGTTAGTAACAATTTCATTTAAAAAAAGAATATTTATTTCACAATAACTGTTAACATGTGTACCGTTGTTATATTGCATTATTGCAGATTTCTAGGAGAGCTGAAAAAGAAAGTGACCAACAAGGCACACGTTGAGGCTTCAATTTGTCAAGCGTATCTTCAACAAGAAATCTCAACGTTCTCGTCTTTTTACTTCGAGCGTGACGTCATCACCAGAAGGAAGAGACCTGCCCGGAACGATGACATTGGCGAGGATTTATATGAAAATGTAGTTTCCATCTTCAATTACCCAGGCAGAGGTAAAGGTGCTGCGACACAACGATACATCGTGGGTGGGGAATTGCAAATTGCACATACTTATATCCTCATGAATTGTCCAGAAATCTCACCGTTTTATCAGTAAGTTAAATTTGTAGTTATAATTGTAATACTTATCAATTAAATTTGTAGTTAATTTATAATTTTTTTATTTTTTAATTCACAGTGAATTCAGAGCTTCTTTATCAGCCTTTCCTGAGAATCAAATTGATGCATTGGTAGACTCTGATTTTGTAAATTGGTACAAGTATCAGGTATATATATACACACACATTAATTATATATATATATATATATATTATTATGTTTTTCAATATTTACCTAATGTTATTATCATGTTTATATTTACAGATCAATAGTCGTGGGATTGTCGACCCTTTGTT